AGAAGAAGACAAAGAAAAAGAAGAGAAGAAGAAGAAGAAGAAGAAGAGAAGAAGAAGAGAAGAATAAGAAGAGAAGAAAATGAAAGAAGAAGAAGAAGAAGAAGAAGAAGAAGAAGAAGAAGAAGAAGAAGAAGAAGAAGAAGAAGAAGAAGAAGAAGAAAAGAAGAAGAAGAAGAAGAAGAAGAAGAAGAAGAAGAAGAAGAAGAAGAAGAAGAAGAAGAAGAAGAAAACAAACGAAAAGAAAAAAAGAAGAAGAAGACCGCATTGTGATGCGACAATTGTATGAAGCGCCGCCCGTTCTAATGGTAATGGCAAACTAATACATATAAAACTGCCTAGTAGAACTACAAACAGCGTAAAGGATACACAATTGACTGTATAGTATTTATCCTATGAACAGGAAATGAACGATCCACACGATGATCTGCCTAGTACACGAACAACTAATCAGCCATCCTCTTATTGGAAATCTCGCATAAAACAGAAATCCACATCCCCTGGTATTATTTTATCCGTTACAAGCAAGCCATCACTTCACTCCGTGAGACACACCACTAGATGAATGGACGTTGGGAAGAAAGGAGTGCTACTGTCTGAAATGCAAGGGGGGGGATTTAGGGGGGGGGGGGGAGACGGAGAGTGGAGGCCAGTGGCAGAATGTGTGTGGGGTGAGGGGGAGACGTAGAGGATAGAGATGAGTACCCATCCCTAATGAGCTCACAAGGGAAACAGTATCAAACGTTCACACGAGTCCAACATTATCATATTCGATCGCCGAGGGTGGAGTGAAAACTGGATCTGACCTCGGAGGCAGTGGAATGCGGAGCTCCTTAAAATCAAAGATTTTAGGGTTTCGTGGGGACACTGCACAAGCAATTAACGCACACGGCAGTATCAGCTCTGGCAACAGGCCACGCGCAATTTACTGAACCTGCAGTTCACATCAAAAGCCACGGCAAGTAGAGTCAAAAGAGCATTTCAAATAAAATTCGCAACTCACTGCATCGTGTCATGCACTCAATTCGGTAGCGGAGCACATAAATATATATTTTAATTCAACAAAAAAAGGGGGGGGGGGTGTGGAGAGTGACCTGAATGCGGCATCTCCGACATGGAAAACTGCACTGAAGATTGGCACAGGACAGGAAAGCATGGAGAGTCCTCTCTGAAGCCTCATTTGCCACTAGGCATAAAAAGAACAATAACCAACCGTAGCCAGAAGCAAATAACTTGCCACCACTAAAGTTAGTTAGTAAGCCTGTATATCTCGCACGCTAAGAGCCGGCCAGACCCGAAAAGGTGTAAAATAGGAAGTTATACAAACATTTCAACATGTTAAACAACACACCTAGAAAAAAAAAAAAACAGCTATAAATACCCGACAATGAGACAAACAAGTGCAACATTACATCGGCTGAGCAACACTGATGAATCATGATGTAATTATCGTTATTTAATTAGTCTGAAATTCAGCGTGTTTCCAGCATTACTAAATTATAACAAAAATCAATAGAGTGACACTCTAGCCATTTTTGTGCTAGCACTAATTCAATAAAGAGAAATTACTGGTGGAAGGAAACTTGGTTGTGAAAGTAGCTTATAATTCAACAAGTCATTATTTGCGATCATGCAACAGAAATTCTTGTCCTCGCCCTCCCACTATTTATTTTTCTGCTTCTACTTCCCCTTTCACTACTCGCCTTTTTCTTTTCTCCTCCTCCATGTCTTCCTCTCCATTTTCTTCTTCTGTTTTTTCTTCTTCGTCTGCTACTCTGTCTCTATTTCTTCATATTTTCCTTCTCCTCTTCTTCTTCTTCTTTTTCTTCTTCTTCTTCTTCTTTTTCTTCTCCTCCGTCTTCGTCTCAATTTTGTTGTCGTTGTTGTTATAGAAAAAGACGAAAAAGAAGAAGAAGATGATGATGAACAAGAAGAAAAAGATGATGATGACGAAGAAGAAGAAGAAGAAGAAGAAGAAGAAGAAAAGAAGAAGAAGAAGAAGAAGAAGAAGAAGAAGAAGAAGAAGAAGAAGAAGAAGATGAAGAAGAAGGAGAGGAGGAGGAGAAGGACAAGAAGAAGCAACCAAGAGGTTTTGAAAGAGGCGGGAGCCCGAAGACAACTAATCACAGACATCAGAAGGAGACAGTCATCATTTTTCGGCCATGTTATGAGAAGAGGGAAAATGGAACATGCGGTGACCACTGGAAAGATCTGTGGAAGGAGGGGCAGAGGAAGATAACGAGAGAAGATTCTTGACAGTCTTGTTGCATGTCATGGAGGTGTGTCAGCACACGAACTAATACATGCTGCAGGAGATCGCAGATTGTGGTAAGGCATATTCGCCCACACCAGTCGGCAAGGCACCTGATGATGATGATGATGATGGTACACTATACATATTCGTATTCGGCCGAATAGTTGGTCCCGCTATTCGTATTCGGCCGAACAGTGAAAATCACTATTTAGTACAGCCCTAATTCCTATGCAACAAAAATATATCTCACACTTACTTTCCACCGCCTAGTAATGATTCCTATACATCAAAACCGCATCACACTCATTCTTCCCACCACCCAGTAATGATTCTTATACAACAACAAAAACACCAAACTCTTACTTCCCACTACCCAGGGATATTCCGATTCAACAAAAAATACATTAACTCTTCCTTCGAATTTCCAAGTAAGGATTCCTAAAAAACAGCAAGAACACTCATTTTCTAACACACCTCACACTGAGGCATATACAGTGGACAATTCAGTTTGTCCACACAACGTGAGAGGGCTTATAAATGATGTACAAAGCCCTCAATTAAGAGCTGGCAACTTTCTAAAAGATCGATTCTAACAAAAAATGCACACGTCACTATTTAACAGACAGAAAACCGTGCAGACTCAATGAACAGCAGGCGGACAACTGGCATCAGTTATGTCTGTATCGGCTGTTGGTGATAGCTGTTGTATGGGTGTTTGGTGTTAATGGTATGGGAGTTTGGTGGTGACGGATGGGTGTTTGAGGTTATTTGTATGGGGGTTGGTGGTGATGTGATATATGCGCGTTTAATGCTAATGTATGGGAGTTTGGTGGTGATATATGCGCGTTTAATGTTAATGGTATGGGAGTTTGGTGGTGATATATGCGCGTTTAATGTTAATGGTATGGGAGTTTGGTGGTGATATATGCGCGTTTAATGTTAATGGTATGGGAGTTTAGTGGTGATATATAAGCGTTTAATGTTAATGTATGGGAGTTTGGTGGTGATATATGCGCGTTTAATGTTAATGGTACGGGAGTTTGGTGGTGATAAATGCGCGTTTAATGTTAATGGTATGGGAGTTTGGTGGTGATGTAAGGAAGTTTATTGGTGATGTGTAGGTGTTTGATGTTAAGGGTATGGCATTTTGGTAGTGATGTATGGATGTTTGCTGGTGAAATGTGTGTTTGGCGGTAACGTATGGGTGTCGTGTCCGATGTTAATGGTTTGGGGGTTGGCGTTGATGCATGGGTGGTGATGTATTGGGGTTGGTGGTGATGTATGCGAGTTTTTGGTGATACGGGTGCTTGGTTGTAATGTGGGGTGTTTGATGTTAATGGTATGAGAGTGTGGTGATGTATGTGTCTCTGATGGGGTGGGCGTTTGGTGGAGATATGAATGTTTGTTGATGGTACTGCCATCTGCTTGAGATGTATGGGTGTTTTTAGCAGTTTTGAATGTGTGGTGGTGATATATTGGTGTTTGATGGTGGTGTTTGGGTGCCAGGTGGTATTACTGTTTGTTGATGGCATGGGTGTCTGGTGATGTATAGGTGTTTAATGGTAATGAGTTGGATTATCGTCACACAACTTCGGACACATCCACAGGTGCTCAGAACTCCCCCCCCCCCCTTCCCCAACATGTTCATCAGCGTCGCTGGGTTAATAGTACCAGTCCCATGCTGGTTGACAAGACTTCGTGTGCTTCCTGTGTGCTTCTCGGGCTTGGCTGTGCCCATTTCTATTCCCAATTCTCGTATTCTTAGCAGTGATGTGGACATGTTACTTCCAAAATCTCTAATGGCATTGACAATGTCTGCGTGTTCCAGGGGCCGGACATGGGTATTTGGTGGTGATTTGGTGTGTTTATGGTGTGATGTGGGTGTATTGTGGTTATGTGGGTGTATTTTGGTGATGTGGGTGTTTACTGATAATATGGCTTTGTGTGTGAAATTTGAAAGTGTGTGTGTGTGTGTTTTTTTTTTTTTTAATGGATGTCTGGTAGTGATCGATAGGTGTTTGGCGAAGGCTTTTGGTGTTCGATTATGATGTGTGGGAGTTTGTTGACTGCATGTCAGTTTTGGTGACGCATGGATATCTGGTGTTAATGGTATGGTTGTTTGCTACTGATGCATAGGTGTTTGGTACTGATGTATGGGAGTTTGGTACTGATGGATGGGTGTTTGGTACTGATGTATGGGAGTTTGGTACTGATGATGGGTGTTTGGTACTGATGTATGGGAGTTTGGTACTGATGTATGGGAGTTTGGTACTGATGGATGGGTGTTTGGTACTGATGTATGGGAGTTTGGTACTGATGGATGGGTGTTTGGTACTGATGTATGGGAGTTTGGTACTGATGGATGGGTGTTTGGTACTGATGTATGGGTGTTTAGTACTGATTTATGGGTGTTTGGTACTGATGTATGGGTGTTTGGTACTGATGTATGGGTGTTTGGTGTTTATGGTATGGGTGTTTGGTGTTTATGGTGTGGGAATTTGGTAATGATGATATGGGTGTTTGGTACTGATGTATGGAAGTTTGGTACTGATGTATGGGTGTCTGGTACTGATGTATGGGTGTTTGGTGTTTATGGAGTTGGAATTTGAAACGGATGTATGTTTTGGGTGTTTGGTACTGATGTAACGGTGTTTAGTACTGATGTATGGGTGTTTGGTACTGATGTATAGAAGTTTGGTACTGATGTATAGGTGTCTGTTACTGATGTGTGGGTGTTTGGTATTGATGTATGGGTGTTTGGTTTTTATCGAGTGGGAATTTGGTACTGATGTATGGGTGTTTGATACTGATGTATGGGTGTTTGGTACTGATGTATGGGTGTTTGGTTCTGTTGTATTGGTGCTTGGTACTGATGTATTTGTGTTTGGCACTGATGTATTGGTGTTTGGTACTGATGTATGGGTGTTTGGTACTGATGTATTGGTGTTTAGTACTGACATTTGTGAGTTTGGTTCTGATGTATGGACGTTTGGCACTGGTATATTGGTGTTTGGTACTGATGTATTTGTGTTTGGTACTGATGTATGGGTGTTTGGTACTGATGTATGGGTGTTTGATACTGATGTATGGGAGTTGGGTAATGATGTATGTGTGTTTGGTACTGGTTTATTAGTGTTTGGTACTGATGTATGGGTATTTGGTACTGATGTATAGGTGTTTGGTACTGATGTATGGGTATTTGGTACTGATGTATGGGTATTTGGTACTGATGTATGGGTATTTGGTACTGATGTATGGGTATTTGGTACTGATGTATAGGTGTTTGGTACTGATGTATGGGTGTTTGGTACTGATGTATGGGTGTTTGGTACTGACGTATGGGAGTTGGGTAATGATGTATGTGTGTTTGGTACTGGTTTATTAGTGTTTGGTACTGATGTATGGATATTTGGTACTTGCGTATTGGTGTTTGGTGTTTGTGGTGTGGGAATGTGGTAATGATGGTATGGATGTTTGGTGTTGATGGTATGGATGTTTGTTGATGTATTGGTTGTTGGTGATGTACAGATTTTTGTTGATGGTATGGGTGATGATGTATGCGTGTTTGATTTTGTATGGGTGTTTGACAGGGTGTCTGGATAGTTGTTGGTGGTCCGGGTGTTTGTGCGTGACGTATGCATATAGTGTAGTGTTTTCTACAGTTTATTTTTTGAATTTCTGTAACATAAATATACATCTACAAACCATACATGGACGCCTACAGCTCAAGCGTGAGAGCTTACAACTAATTTTGTTACTGCTACGTCAAAGGCACTAACTGCTAAATTCTGGTTTCGAGAAAACTGGGTTTGAACACTGATAACTGATAAAAACTTTACAGTTGTTTGAAAAGTAATACTTTATTTTAAAATATTAGGAATAGGCCTTTGTATGTATTCCTTTGTCATCTTTTACAGATGACTGTGGCATAGTGCCAACGATATATGGATGTCTACGGCTCTTTAACCGTTCAGTAAGCAATGGCAAACTACTGAATGTGAAATTGGCTGAGAACACTAAAAGAGCCTAAAAATGTTGGGGCTGTGTCCTGTAGTGAATACGGAGATAGCTGCTAGTGTATATGTGTCTACGGCTACTGTTGGGGGGGGGGGGGAACGCTTCATGTTCGGGAGTCTACGTTTCATGTACGGGAGTCTACGTTTCATGTAGGGAGTCTACGTTTCATGTACGGGATTCTACGTTTCAAGTACAGGAGTCTACGTTTCATGTACGGGAGTCTACGCTTCAAGTACGGGATTCTACGTTTCAAGAACGGGAGTCTACGCTTCAAGTACAGGATTCTACGTTTTATGTACGGGAGTCTACGCTTCATGTTCGGGATTCTACGCTACAAGTACGGGATTCTACGTTTCAAGTACAGGAGTCTACGTTTCATGTACGGGAGTCTACGCTTCAAGTACGGGATTCTACGTTTCAAGAACGGGAGTCTACGCTTCAAGTACAGGATTCTACGTTTTATGTACGGGAGTCTACGCTTCATGTTCGGGATTCTACGCTACAAGTACGGGATTCTACGTTTCATGTACGAGAGTCTACGTTTCATGTACGGGAGTCTACGCTTCATGTACGAGAGTCTACGTTTCATGTACGGGAGTCTACGCTTCATGTACGGGAGACTAAAGCTCCAGTATTGATGTCAACAGCCCCACTGTGGATGTGTACAGCGCTTACAGAGAGTCTACAGCTCCAGTATGGATGTCTACAGCTCCGATACGGGAGTCTACAGCTGAAGTATGGACATCTACAGCTCTAATACAGGAGTCTCCAATTGCAGTGTGGATGTCTACAGCTCCAGTAAGGATGTCTACAGCTGCAGTAAGGATGTCTACAGCTCCATTAAGGATGTCTACAGCTGCAGTGAGGATGTCTACAGCTGCAGTAAGGATGTCTACAGCTCCAGTAAGGATGTCTACAGCTGTTGTAAGGATGTCTGTTTACAGCTCCAGTAAGAATGTCTACAGCTCCAATACGAGAATCTACAACTGCAGTACGGATGTCTACAGCTCCAGCATAGATGTCTACAGCTCAAGAATGAGTCTCCAAGCTCTTGTACTGGAGTAAACAGCTCCAGTACGTGTATCGTCAGATCGCGCGCTCGCGTGTGTGTGTGTGTGGTGTTTCGTGTGCAGAGCTGCTGTAGAAGGCAGTAGGAGGCAGACAAAACAATGCACAAACTCAGCAGGGGTGACGAAGATCCCAATTTATTTATACCAAACAGCACCTTGTTAAAATATATTTGTTTTTTCCAGTAATTTAATGATTTTAAAATGATGCCGAAACACAACCAAATTCAACTATTTTTTATTTCAAACTACAGTGTGGGTTTTTACCCCGTATCCCTTTTTCCGAGGGGAAAAAATTTAAAAAAAACATATTCGTCTGCTGCACTACCGATCAGAGGAAACAATATATCTCCGAGTCCGTATTTTACAAAAACCCACACTGTAATCTGTGATCCTTCTATAGTCAGGACGGACGTCGAATTCCTAAGCCATCCCAGAACCTACACTTGTAAGGCCCATGAATATCTGTCCTGAAGTGTCTCATGAGTTCCTTATATGCAGTTTTAATGCCAACGGAAGAGAAAGAGCTGTGCATGGATGACAATTTGGACATAAACTTTGCTGTCAGAAGTGTGCGTGTATGCGGGGTGGAGATATCAATAGCAAGACAGTGACAGTTTTTCGCTAATGCTAGAATTCCTTAGGTTACATCCCTTCCCCATCCCCGTGTGGGTTCCGCGGCTCCATTTCGGAGAACAATGAATAGACCCATTTTCTCAATATTAAGCATGTCGTAGGCGGCGAGATTTATTCGGAAGGTTCGCCTTGAAGTCGCAGTTCATCTGCCTGAGTGGCAAGAAACCAACAGTCTGCACACAAATAAGCCAGCAGTCCAATAGTTTCGAGGGTGGTAAGAGCGGGTTTCCCGTCTTTCTGGTGCCTTTAACAAAGTCAGAACATCTAGAACTGGCCCTAACCCCAACCCCAACTCACCTACGCCACACGACAGAGTACAGCCTAGGTCACATGACTGCATGCAGCCTAGGTCACATGACTGCATGCAGCCTAGGTCACATGACTGCATACAGCCTAGGTCACATGACTGCAAGCAGTCTATCTACCACCCCCTAAAATATTCGACTGTTTGTTTAGGGGGAGACATTGGAATAGAACCGTCGGAGTTTACAGCAGGTGACCTCTAATAAGCAGGCGAAGACCGCCCTTCTGAGGAGCGGCTAGCCGACAGTTAGGCTCCCACCGGAGAACGCAGGTTCCAGTCCTGTGCAAGGTGGGAGGGGAAGGGGTAAGGCTGCGCTGAGACAAAAATTAAATCCTAATCCGCACAGTCCGTGGCGACCGCATCAGCCATGCGGCCTAAAATTCCCCTGACTACGCCGCAAAAAATGGTGAGTGTTTTTTTTTTTTTTTTCAAACTCCTCCCTCCCCCTTTTTTTTAACCCGGTGTTTCCTATACTAATTTAAGAAGCACTTTTCATAAGTGCATGGCTGGCGAAAAAGCTTCTTTGTTAATCATCCTTATTAACATCCAGTTAAGTTCGTCGATTATCGTGTGGAGAACAGTTGCTGTGCCAGCGCTCGCAGTTGGTGTTTTACGTGCGACGCTCTCAGCAGAGGACAGACGTTTTGCAGAGAGACCGAGCCCTGTGGGATACAACCCGGTGCAAAGAAGTCGATCCTCTCGGAAAGATCTGGTTGTTCGTCCACTTTTGGATTTCGTCTTGTTCCATGACATGAGGTTTTGAGTGCAACCCTGATATATAAAATTATTTTAATGCAGAATGTTGGTTCCTATTTTCTTAGACAGGATTCCCCCCGACTTCAAAAACATCTAAATTGGTCGACTTCTACGACATGCTTAGGAGGAAGGGGCAGTGGGTCCCCCCCCCCCCCCCAAGAGAGGCCCTTGAGCCCACACGGAGAAACTCATCATTAATCTATCATTGATATTTCTATCATCTCCATTTCTATCATCGACAGATCTATCATCACAATTTCCATCATCGACATTTCTATCTTCACAATTCTATTTTCGATATTTCTACCAACACCATTTCTGTCAACGACATTTGTATAATCACCATTTACAGCACCGCCACGTCTATCATCAACATTTCTATCATCACTAATTCTATCATCATCACCTCTGTCACCATCAATTCTATCAAGGCCATTGCTATCATCACCAATTCTTTCATAGTCAGTTATATTACATCCCGGTCAATGTTCAGCCTATTACGTCATCTGTTATTAAAATTATGTCTCTACAGCCACTAACAATCACACTCTGTGGGGGAGACGGACAGCCACGCTGTAGCTCTCTCGTGAGATTCATGTGCCATTGCTTATCTTATCTGGGCTGTAAGCAATGAAACATTATCTCCCGGTATTCTAGTCGACTCGCGACTGCAAGCGAGGTCGTAACGACACAGGGGAATGAAGATTAGAATTGTATACGCATGCACGCCTGTAGTTTTAAGTTGCCTTCGTGTTTATATGAGATTATATGAAGTCATGATAATATTTTATGTGCGTACACGTGAAAGTACATTTGGCGCGTTTCTGCCATTTAAACTAAACACTATGCCCTACCCTGTCGGGACTTCGGGTCATTTTGTGACCGTCGGTGCCCCTACCTTACGGTTGAACGGGGTTTCTGGGACTTGTACATGGGAGAATTCACATCCGAATAGTGACAGTTTGCACACTGCGTCACCTGGTGTAATCGCTAACAGTACGGTCCTATTGGGGTTTACCCCCCCCCCCCTCCCCCCCCCCACACACACACACACATATGGGAATACCTTAACAGTTATGATTGTGTGAAGGAAACCTTTTCCACGCCTTTATGTGTATAGGGCATATAGGGCTCGACCTATATTTTATAGATCAATCGGTACAAGATGGGTGATGTGGTCAGCATCACGCCGGCCACCTTTACTTCCCGAGACTGCACCCGGTACCCACTGAAGGCTGGGTCGACCTGATGCCAAGGTTATTTCTGGAAGAAAAAAAGTCCGGCTCCGCCAGGGAGCGAACCCAAGACCTTCCGATCCGCAAGCGAGCGTCTAGCCGCTCCGCCACGGCGGTGTATGGGTGTGTACACGCATTTTATCTGCGCGTGGTGCCTGCCCAGAATATAGAACCCAGAATATATCGGAACCCACCTACGTCCCACCAGAGACTGCATACAGCCTATCTACCATCCCCCCCCCCCAGAATATATCGGAACCCACCTACGTCCCACCAGAGACTGCATACAGCCTATCTACCACCCCCCTCCCCTCCACCCAGAATATATCGGAACCCACCTACGTCCCACCAGAGACTGCATACAGCCTATCTACCCCCCCCCCCCCCCCCCACCCAGAATATATCGGAACCCACCTACGTCCCACCAGAGACTGCATCAGCCTATCTACCACCCCCCCCCCCCCCCCCACCCAGAATATATCGGAAACCACGTAAGTCCCACCAGAGACTGCATACAGCCTATCTACCACCCCCCCCCCCACCCAGAATATATCGGAACCCACCTACGTCCCACCAGAGACTGCATACAGCCTATCTACCACCACCCTCCCCCCCCCCCCCCCCCCCACCCAGAATATATCGGAACCCACCTACGTCCCACCAGAGACTGCATACAGCCTATCTACCACCCCCCTCCCCAGAATATATCGGAACCCACCTACGTCCCACCAGAGACTGCATACAGCCTATCTACCACCCCTCCCCCAGAATATATCGGAACCCACCTACGTCCCACTAGAGACTGCATACAGCCTATCTACCACCCCACCCCCCCCCCCCCAGAATATATCGGAACCCACCTACGTCCCACCAGAGACTGCATACAGCCTATCTACCACCCCCCCCCCCCCCCAGAATATATCGGAACCCACCTACGTCCCACCAGAGACTGCATACAGCCTATCTAACCACCCCCCCACCCAGAATATATCGGAACCCACCTACGTCCCACGAGAGACTGCATACAGCCTATCTACCACCCCCCCCCCCACCCAGAATATATCGGAACCCACCTACGTCCCACCAGAGACTGCATACAGCCTATCTACCACCCCCCCCCCCCCCCAGAATATATCGGAACCCACCTACGTCCCCCACCAGAGACTGCATACAGCCTATCTACCACCCCCCCCCACCCAGAATATATCGGAACCCACCTACGTCCCACGAGAGACTGCATACAGCCTATCTACCACCCCCCCCCACCCAGAATATATCGGAAACCCACCTACGTCCCACCAGAGACTGCATACAGCCTATCTACCACCCCCCCCCCACCCAGAATATATCGGAACCCACCTACGTCCCACCAGAGACTGCATACAGCCTATCTACCACCCCCCCCCCCCCCCACCCAGAATATATCGGAACCCACCTACGTCCCACGAGAGACTGCATACAGCCTATCTACCACCACCCCCCCCCCACCCTCCTGAAATATTAGATTGTCCCGTGACCTGTGGATTTCCCATTTTTGGGGTAAGATATTAATAAAGCATCATTTTTTTTTTAATCGCCAGAAAATATCATGTGATTCAAAGATGGTCCACGAGATGCTAACCACATCACCCATCGAATGA